GTCCCCATTTTCTAAATCATCAGATATTTGAGATGATATCACCAACACGAAATTGTGAATGTTTCAATATATCAACTAATTCATCATATGCACGTGTAGAAATACTGTATTTTCTGGATCTAACAAAAAAATAATGCAGCAGTAATACTTTTAAAGTATGGTCCAAATTCACATATATTTTGCAGTAACTTATCTGACTTTAATGCTTCACCAACAATTGTTTCATTGATAGTATTATCTATTTAATTAAAATGAATGTTATTATTATATTTGAAACATAATTTTTGTTAATTGTAAATACTTGCCTTCAAAATCTTCTAAATCATCATTACTGTCATAAATTCTCTTCGTCCAAATTGTCCAAATTGTCATCATCCAAATGATGATCATCGTTCTCTTCATCCAAATTACTATCATCCAAATGATCATCACTGTCATCGTTACCGAATAATTCTCTTCATTTAAATTACTGTTATCATCATTATTCAAATGATCGTTATTATTGTTTAAGTTATCTTCTTTATTTAAATGATCACTACCTTCGTTCAAGTTATTATTATTATATATATTAAATGTGGACCTATTTAAAAACCATATTAGTAGTGATTACTATACAATTTATTTATTTATTTCTATCATATAATAAAGTAAAAGAAACTCGTACAGTGGCCTACAAAAAGTCAGTGAGTACCCGTAAAATATAATAATCATTACACAAATATACTCCAATGTAAAGTTTTTTTTTTATTAATTGACTCACCTTTTGTATTATAAGTTAAGTTGATTACCAAGTTGAATTATGCTTACTCTGAAAATTACATGAATTTCTGATTAAAATTAATTGTTATATTTTGAAATTTATTAAAATATTTAGATATTTTAATGGAAATCTATGGTAATAATTTAGCATTAAAATATTTGCTTTAAAACACTTAATTTTTTTTTAATAAAATTATTTGTCATAATTTACAGCATAATGATCACGAAGTATCATCAACATTAACAAAATAATTAGCAAGTTACACACGTTTGGCAAAGATATTTGGCATCTATTAATTATTTGTAAATTGTTAAATAAAGAATAAATCATGATCTTATATTATGATTATAATAAAAAAGTTAGAAACAAATAGTCAAAATTTCCAACATTCATACAAAAAAAATTTGGCTAAATTTAATGCACTAGTTTTGCTAAATTCCGGTAAATAATCTGGTAGTGATCTACAAATGATCGGCAAATGCCAGTAAAAATGTTGTAACTTGCTGATCATTGCGTTAATACTGATGATAGATACTTCATATAATGTTATAAATTATGGAAAATAATTTATTTAAAAAATAAAATATGATCAAATAAGTTAGTTTATCGTTGTATTAATACTAAAAGATTTCTATTAAAAATCTAATTTTTTTCCAATAAATTTTAAATACAAAAATCAATTTTAATTAGAAGTTCGTGTAATTTTCAGAGTAGGTGTAATTCAACTTGGTGATCAACTTTACTTATAATACAAAAGGTGGGTCAATTAATAAAAAAAAAACTTTACATTAGAGCATATTTGCATAATGATTATTGTATTTTACAGGTACTCACTGACTTTTTGTAGGCCACTGTACAGTACATGTTATATTTTGTGATGGGATATTCATTATATTTTGTGATTGTAAAGTATTTGCAGTAAACTGATAAGTATTTAGTATGGGCTTCTGGCGAAAATTAAATGGCTTTTTATGTAATGAAGTAGTTTTATTTCTAATCATCAATATTTAAAAATTGTTAAAGGTATAATAAATTAATATCTTCAAAAAATATTCAAGCTCTTATATTTTCAAAAATATTAAAATGTGAAATTTTTTAAAAACTTTTTTTTTAACTTTTTTTTAAACTTTTTTTTTCTTAGTACGCAAGTACTATTGTTTACCATTTATGCAATGATTTGTTATATAATCACGCAGTCAATAATCTTATTAGTTGATAGCTTATTATTCTATAAAAAGCTAAAAAAAGCTGCAAAGATCAAATTCCTTTAACTTCTTTTACAATAAATTTTTATTAAAGATATTTATTATTCATGCACAAAAAAGACAAACCCGTAGTAGTGCTCAAAAAGAACAAGTAATAATACAGGAAGATATTGTAAATAATTTACCTAGTATTTGCAATCTTCTAATCAATATAAATTAATATCCTAATTTTATACTAAACTTTAATAATAATTCGACATTTTCTTTAAGATAAATGCAAACTGTGCTACCAATAAAGCAAACTCGTAAAAGAAAAGTTCAAAAAAAACAAGTGATTATAAATAAAAATGAAAGTATTTATTTATTTTTATTTTAATTTAATGAATGTTTAATTGCTCATTTATATATTTTTTCTTTTTAGAAATTCTTTGAAGACCTTAACTATACTTTTTATAGGTTGGACTTCATTTGGTAAATAACAACTTTAACGTAATAGCAAAACTTTTCATTAATAAATTTTCTGACATTATTATTTATTCTGATAGGATAATGATTATACAAGAGAATTGAAACAACCTCTACTTAGCAATGCAAACATTCTGGATTTATTATTATTTGTATAATCAGACTTTATGTTAGAGGTCATAAGCTATCCCACCAGCTGGCAAAGTGTATGAAATTTCTTTTAATTCATCACAAAGAAAGCCTTGCTAAAGTCATCTTTAGTGTAGGTCTAGTAATACATTGCCTTAATTGAGCGTGGCTACGAAGTTTATGATTCCACTAGCAATTGGCCCTATAATCACATGATAGTCACATGCTAGAAGTGTTATAGTTGAGTTTCAGCAAAAGTTGCTATGAAACTGGCTCTATGATTTATTTCGCTTTAAAAAAATTTTTTATGCAATGAATATGTATTTGTAATTAAAAGCTGCATTAGTATATTGATATTTATTAATAAATAATTTCAAAAAAATTATTTTTTTCTGATTGTATGACAATAAGCAACGCAAAAGTATTTTATCTTTTAAAAAATAATTGTATATTATAAAAAATGTATTTAGAATACCGTGAACATGCTAAAAAGATGTCTTCTTAACAATTTCACAATATTGTAAAAAATACCTGCCCGGTATAGTTAAAATGTCATGCAAATTAACGTTACATGACCATATCAATATCATCCAAATGTTATTTCATTATTGGGATGATATATTAAGAAAATTTGACCGTCACGTTACTTTTAAGATTCATAGACAGTATAGTTAAGGTAGCTTAATGATACCTTAAAAAATTACAAGTTTCTGCAAAGTTGGTCCTTCTAATCGTGGAACAACAATATAATTTGGATCTTCAGCACGTAACTTCATAAGATATGAAAGCATTACAGCTGCATCAGATTCATCATGAACTCGAACACCTCGAAATTTTTGGATTGCATTATATAAGTTCTTTTTTTTGATGTGACATTCAGGGAACTCTTTGGTGAGTAAATCATATTGCTGTGCAGCTCCTAAACGACCATTAGTAATGTAATGCTCTATTTTATCAAAAACTGCTTTAGGAAGATGACAATTTTTAGGGGCTAGATCTATAGTTACTGGATCACATTGGTGGTTATGGTTGTTATCAAGCTTAGTAAGACGTATTACAGCAGTGTTTTTGCCATAATAGAAAGCCACTTGCCATGGACAGTTTGTTTTAGTTGAAACACTTTCGCGGTGTAAGCTAATGTCTTCCACCTTCTTTGGATTACTAGTTCCGGCTTTCCAACAACTATACACACAACGTCGAACAATAGTTTTGTCAATAGCATCAATATCTTTACGGGATTTTATAGCAACAAATCCATTTTGCTTTGCGTATGTATTAACAGCAATTTCAACTGCATCCCAATCTTTGAAAGTATCATTAACGCTTAAAGTTGTGTCTGTATTATTAATTTCATTTGTATCCCTTTCTTGACTATTAGGTGACGCGTTAAGTATCCTAGTTTGCACTTCTAATACAGTCCTTGTGTTATTATCATCAATAGGTTAACTGTTAATTTTGTTTGATATATCCAAGAGTACTCCGTTCTGCATTTTCTAATATAGTCTGACCTCAACTACAAATTTTTAACAGTGCTTTATTTAGGTTGAAGTTTATCCGAAAAAAAAACCTTTCAGTAATCCAAACAGGATGGCTACGAAATCGAAAATTGATGTAAAAAATTGAATAGATAGATTGCGAAAATTTTGGGATAGATTAGAGTGTAAATATTTGAATAGAAAAAAAAGGGAGTAACGTGGCTTTGTGCGCTAGAGGTTTCGTGGGTAAATATCAAATCGTCATATCACGTGTAATAAACATTACGTCAAATAAAAAAAAATCACAAATGATTATATAATATTAAATGTAGCCGGTGATGATCACCGCAAGTGATACGTAGTATTTTTCTATTATTTATATATTCATTTATTATTATTTTAAAAATATTTATATTTTTTCAATTATTCAACAGTTTAATATAAAATGGAAATATAAAGAATACCAAAATATAGTTTTTACCGCCCAAAATTTGTAATATTTGGTATATTGGTATAAACAAATTTAATGGAATTGTTTATGTGTAATATGACTAAAAATAGTAAGGTTAATGGTTTGAATCCTGGTAATTCGCCCAAATTCCAGTCTTCATTATTTTTATGCGCTAATTTAAATATTATCAGTTTGTCCATTTAAACAAAGGAAATGTCGCAGTAATGTATTATATGTCTATGTTGTCTATATTAGGTATTTTGTACCGTTAAGTCGTTAACATTATCACCAATATATTATAAGTGCCATTGACTTTCCATAAATATCAGCCTAAGAGAATGAGAATATTCGTATTATTCACAGAATTTATATATAAATGAGGTGTGTTGGATACTGTGTTGGATGCGATTTTTGTTTTCCGTCGCAAAATTTTACTTCCTTGCTTATTGTCTAATTTTTTTTCTATTGACTGATCATTGTATTGGTTTCTATGACTCGTTTGACTAAATTTTTTGTTTCCGGATAAAAAAAAAAAAATTTAAATAATTCCCAATAACTAACAAAATTTATTTTTAATCAAAAATTCAACTCTTTATTTTATTTATTTATTTATTTTATTTTAAAAAAAAATTTTTTCGAACAATATAATTCAAACACTCTCATTTACCATATCCTAATATGAATCCAGGTCAACCTTCTAACTCGGAGAACCTTCCGCCTTCATTTACCAATATCTATCCTGATTCTCAATATAACAACGTTCTTACCATTTCTCCACTACAAAAGAATGCGAACGGTTTTCACGTTACTACTGCGGTTCAGGATATTCATCCTCAGCACGTAACTCATACGTTACAAACTACACTTGCAACTACACCTTTTCATCCTACTACCTTTTTCTATAGTCCTCCAAACGAATTTTGTCATTATTATATTAATTGCAAAGAAATCTGTTACGATACTGTTGCTTATTTATTAAACAAATCATTAAAAGAAAATAACGTTAAATCTAACGAAAATGAATGTATTTTCTACTATCAACAACAACATGCCAAGTTTTATCAGGTATCATGTGAAATCGTTTCTCCTTTATTGATTAATAATTGTTTGAATAAAAATTTTCTTGGTTTCGAGTTTCAACAGAATGTGGATGAAAAATTAGCGTTCACTTTTGAACAAAAAGAAAACCTTGAAGGTTTGTTGAAACAATATTTAAGTCAATACTTATTAAAGTAAAATAGGAAATTTGATAGTAGATTATTGTGGTTTCTTTCTATCTTTATTTTATTTATTATATTTTTAAATAAATCATTAGTTTATGTTATAAATATATTTAATAAAACTCTGTTCCATCAGTTTACTTTGTGACATAGTATTTGAATCGCAGTAACAAAGCATGACATTTGTATTATTTATATCTCAGCACATTAATAGTTCGCGTCGTGGAGTTAAATCATTTCCTAAATCGCAACAAGCATCCGATACTAAATATTCAAAAAAAAATTCGGGCATTATTTAGATTAAGAAATCATTACTCGATAAACTTTATTAGCATTAAACGTTTAATTTCATCAATATGTAATACATTATTATAATAAGTCTATAATTTTGTTCTAAAATTCATTATAAAACAATTTACGATGTCAAGACGCATAATAAAAACAAGTTCACTTCCAAAAAAAAAATATATAAGAATATATAGTATGTAAGAGAATAAAATAAATCATACCAAATTTGGAAAAGGAGATTTTTTTTCAAAATTTTAATAATTAAATATTGATATTATATAATCGTCTATATGGTCCAACGGCGAAAATCCACGGCAGTATAACCTTTTTTTTTTATTCCAGCTTTTCTAATTATAAAAATCCTTTTGCTTTGCTGTATTCCAAGGAATTTCATGGAATTTACAAAAATTCTACCCAAAATTCTTTATTTTTCTTATTGCTTACTAGGTTTAATGTTAAGTTTTATAAAATAAATTTGCTATCATTTATCGGTTGGCTTTTTATAATATAACTGTTAATAAGTACAGTAATTAAAAATTTTTGAAAATATTGCAATGATTTTTGTTTTTAGAGACTTTTTTGTTTGTATTTTTCACTCAAATAGTAAGGTTAAACATTATTATTTACTTTATGAAGTTGTTTTTATTCTGCACTATGGAGTCACAAGATTTCTCGCCCTTTTTTTTGGTATATGATCAAAGTACGGCTAACCTTAATGTAACGTTACTTTTTTAATTTTTGGCGTCTGTCTGTAACACAGTATTCGTCTGAATGAATATCAAAAACGGCATACTTGAATGAAAAACTATTCTTAATAAGAAATATATAAAAGATATGTCATGTATTACCAACTTCCTTAAATAATCCGGTATTGTTTGAAAAAATAATAAATATAGCAGTAACAAAGATGAAAATCGAAACTTATTATTTAATAATTCAGCTAAAACAATTAAATTACTTTTAATAATTATTCAGTTAAAATTTTATTGTCGATCGTATTAAGCTATATTAAATACTGTATATTAGTTGAGATAATAGATAATATTACGAGTTCGAGTTAAATTTCTTTGACAAATGTAACTGACGTTAGTAATTAACTTATTGTTATAAATAATTACATTAATTGGCTGTATTAAGTTTAAGTATCTAGAAATCATATTCACGTTAAAATATTAGTAAAAATCACAAAACGACACTTAACTGCATTACTTTTGAACGAAAAAATATTTTAAAGCAATATTTATGTCAATACTTACCGAATTATAACTTATTTTTATTTAAATTAAGGTAAAGAATTCTCTTTTGGTGGTTTTATGAGTTTTCTCTATACTGCTTATTCTTTTTAAGAAATTTATCGTTTATGATCATCATTCATAACCGGTATTTATAACAATGTATGACAATTTTGCCACGTCATATTCGTCACATTTGGCGACTTTGTCATTTTTTTTATTATTCCGAAGTGTGAAGGACTATATACTTCTACGCTTGATGACTTCATGTCCGAATGTTCGTGTAATTCCCAATTATTCCGCTCATCTCAGAAACTGAACCTATGTTAATAACGGTTTCCGAAATACAAAAAAATTTTTTCAATTTCGTTTATAGATAATAAAGTTCAATTTTTTTTTTATAATAGCTTTAATAAACATTTATCAAATTAATATTTTAAGAGTTACAGGTTGAGTTACAAATTAAAATAAAGTTATTCATAAATAAGGCGATAAAAGTTTTATTACCAACTCGAAATCCTTACAATAAATAATTATAGTTTTAGACTGTAATAGAAATTTCCATCAACAAATAATTTATTATAGCGTATTCAATCTCATCCTAATTTATGAAACGATTCTATTATTGGAAAAAAAATATTTTATAAGCGCCGAATATACTGAGCGTAAAAAATACGATCGCATTTCCTTGTATAATTATTAAATTAATGTTAGTTAAATATTTATCAGTATAAGAAAAATAATGATAATAATTAATAAAATAAAAAATATAAATAACCTAAATTTCAACTGAACCTATTTGTCCATATGATTGATAATCAGCCGGGGCCTTGGCTTGAAATTCTTTTTTAATAAAATATTACAGACTTTTATCACAAAAAAATGTGTTTTTACTACCATTGGATTCCTCTACACTCGGGACTGTTCCGAGATACGCGTTCATAAATATATATAAGCGGAAGTTAAGTAATTTATAAAGAAAGTACGCTGAATAAAGATTATAAATACATGTAGGTTTTTGTGCGTACTGCGCTTTTTTCGTACAATTAATATTTTCTCGACTACAATTAATATTGTTAATAACAATACGGTAATTATTTTAAAATTATTTTTAAGTAATGTTAAACTGTTGGATTAACAAGTAAAATGTTGTTGTTTTATTTAAACCTTGATGTTATTATACAGTTCACCCTCACTATAGTCATTTTATTATATATAAAAAAAATCTGTACCTGAACTTTTCTTCATTATAGCAAGTTATTCACTATGTAAAAATTCACTATAGAGAAGGTGAACTGTATATTAATACATTTTGTAAAAAATAAATAATAAAAAAAGTCACATTGAATATCATATATAACCCTATAACCCTATAATTTTTTTATCAAAAAAAAAAAAAATAAATAAATAAAGATAAACAAATAAAAAGCAAATAAGTCGTTGAAAAATGATTGTATATAAATTCATTTCTTTGTACATAAAAAGTAAATTGCTTAGCCTAATAAATATTGACTTAAATATTTCTTCAAATGACATTCAAGATAAAAGTTAATACTATATGCTCTTGTTCCATGTTTTGTTGAAATTCAACTCCAAGAATATTTTTATTCAAACAATTATTGACCAAGAAAGGAGAAACAATTTCGCATGATACTTGATAAAGTCGGTTATTATATTGTTGCTGATAATAGAAAATACATTTATTTTCATTAGATTGAACATTACGTTCTTTTAACGATTTATTTAATAAGTATGCAACGGTGTCGTTTGAGATTTCTTCACATTTAATATAATAATGATAAAAATCATTTGGTGGTCGAAAGAAAAAGATAGTAGGATAAACGGGTTGAATTTGAAGATATACGGAAGAATCGGATTGTACATATGCGTTAGCAACTATTGGTTGAGACTGAATGTCAAGAGACTGCGTCATATAAGTTTCGCTCGGGGCAGTTGGACTTTCTTGCCTTTCATTAGATGAAACGGGAGTGTTTTGTAGATTGAAAGAAGCAGAAATAAGAGGATTTTGGTTGTTTTCTGAATTAGAAAACTGACCTTGAGAATTCATATTTAAATATTCGGTTCTTAAGATATAGGTGTATAAAACGATTTTAAAAAACTAAACTATTGAAAATTTTTTTTTTTTTTTTTGACAAGTTGTTTTGTAAGTAAAAGAAAAAAATTAATATTCCTCTAAAAAAGAGTATGGCAAATTAAGGTAATTAATGTTTGGTTTATCTTTTTTAATCAATATACATCAATTAATATTGGCCAGTTGTCAAATGATTGTATTACAATTGATGGATCTGATGGATCATAAAAAGATCGATGAGTAACTAGATTCATTTGCAGTATGGATCTTCAAAAAAATGAGTCATAATATTACATAAAAAGGGTTATACCAAAATTGTCTTAGCTACATCTTTTTTTCGAAGATACATACGTCTGATAACCATCAAAAATTGAAAAATTGTCAAAATTGTTAGTTACATTATACATCTTCCTTTAGGTACGTGGTTGAGAGTGTGTTTATTATTTTTTTTCGACTTTTTTTTTAGGTCTATCTTCTCTCTGTCTAGGTCTTCTCTTTATTATAAATATATTCTTTATTTTTCATATTTAGGTAATTACGTACTTTGCCTTACTTTGCGAAATAATAAAGAAAAAATCGGGATCAATGTGAGAAATGTTACACAATAAGAAAAAAAATATTTATTTCACGAAAAATATAAAAAAAAGTGTATAAAATCTTTTTTTCCTTATTAAAATTGAATGAAAATAAGTATTTTATTTGCTGTAAATAAATAAATACATTCAGTTACTTCCTATTTCGAACTATTTTTTTTGTATGCATTTTAATACTTTTATTTGCTCGTCCGTTTGATTTATTGCAACATATAAAAGTGACTTTTGAAAATAAGCAACAAATAAGATATTTTATGTTTACTTTTATTTTACTTGGTTTAAGAAAATTTTGTTTACAAGAATATTCTAATTAAAGTCACTTTAATTTATTATCTGTAAAATCTTGGCAGTTTCAGAATCGGAAAATCAAATTAGTGCTTTCCATTTGAAATTAATATATTCAAATATTTAATATGAATTTTACTAAATGTCACCAGTTGATTTATCAGTTATATTTTTAATTAATAAAAAATATATATGTAGTATATAAATAAATTAAATTTTATTCGTTTAAAGTTCACTCTTTATACTATAACGAAATTTTTTTTTATAATTTTTATAATGAATTTTAAAATTAAAAGGTTATAACGAATTTTTTTAATTGTAAGTTCGCTATAAAAGGTTATTTTAATTATTACAGTCGCCACTGGAACCCTCCGTTCCAGGAGGTTAAGTTCGGTATATTAATATACCGAACTTCTGGATAAATTTGTAGTGCTGGCCAGAATTATAATTTCGAAATTTTCGTAATAATCCTGGCCGGAACTATAAATTTTGCCTGGATTAGTAATAGTCACATGACTGTTCGTTATAGAATATTATATGACTAATATATAGGGGCTGGCTAAGTTCGGTTCGGATGCTCAAAATTCCGGTTCGTTATAACCAGTGGCGAGTACTGGCTATAACGAATTAGAATTTTTATATGGAACATAAAATTGTGGTGCTGATATTGAAATTACCTAATTATCCATATATATGACCTGAATTTTTGGTTTACTATTTCTCAGCAGTCATTATGCATTAAATAACAAAAAATAACAAATGACGATTAAATATAAAAAGTGATAACGGACATATTTATAACAATTATTATGTGTAAATATCATTTGTTAATGATATAAATATATCTTCATAATGTAAATTTACTGCATTTTACTATTTAAAGGTAAGTTACAATGCATAACAGATAAGAACTTTTATATGTAAATAAATTTATTACAATGTTACACACAAAGGACAATTTAATCTAATATTTTACTTTATTGTTTGTGAACAATTTAAAGAGGGAGTAATACTAATTGAAAAAGTAATTAGTGAAATTGCTTATATGTAGTAAATATATATCATATCATCACTAAGACTTTATATTTTAAATTATTAATTGTCAACACTATTAAATGAAAGTTATTGTCAAAGGTTTATTATAAAAAAAATATATAGTCATAAAACGTCTCCGTCTATTAAATAATTTATTGACCGATATCATGTGGAACTTATTTATCACAAACTAATCATCTTAAAACTATCGTAGTTGTAGATAGTTCTAAAGTATATTAATCATATTCGAAAAATAAACAACGTTAGATTTTATTCTAATGTGAAAATGAAAATTTATTAATAAGTTTTATTGACATAAAAGAATTGGCGAATTAATTAACTTGTCTCTGAACAAAAGCTTGTAAAAGATGTTATTCTCAAAAATAAAATCGATTTTCCCGATAAATAATATATGTAATATCTTGGTTATTAATCTAACAAGTATTGGCTTAGATATCGAGCTAGATGAAATTCCAAGATCTTCTTTCTGATACATAGTAAAAACCAAATTTCCTTGTAGCAAATTCTGTTGAAGTTCAACACCATGAAAACTTTCATTCAAGCAATTAGTGATTAAAGAAGGGAAAACTATTTCGCAGGTAATCTGATAAAATCTATTATTATGTTCTTGTTGATAATAGAAAATATATTCATTTACATATATTCAATAAGGCAATTTCTATTTGTACACGGGGTGTTCAAACACGGATTTCCAAAAAAGTAAATTTTCTATGCTGATCATTAAATGTTGGCCAGAATTAAATTTAACGAAAACAGGAAAAAAATTAAGAATTTGTTAAATAAATCAAAATTGACATTCAAAATCAACTTTGACGTTTTAAGTAAACTTGCAGAACAGACAAAAATACACATATTGCATATTCCTTTTTTTATTAAAAAAATTTTTTTACATAACTTTTTAATAAAGTCACGTGACTCGTGTATGAACACCCCGTGTAAATTAACATTTTTTCATTCAATAAATATGAAACCATATTATAAGAAATACTTTTACATTTAATATAATAATGCCAATAACCATTATTTGTTATTAGGATGAAATAAAAGAGGTGTATCAATATCGTATTGTTGTTGATCAGAAGTTTTTGAATCTGCGAATTAGTTTGGTTCATATTTTTTTTTTTTTACTTGAACAAATTATTTGTTAAATTGTTTGCAAAAGAATTATTATTGTTCAAAGTTTTAGATTTTTCCATTTGTATATAAATATTTTTTTCAAAGTTGAGTGGCTACCCAGAAAAAAAACTGCGGCAAGTAAGCTAAAAATAGTGTGGCTAAAAATAGTAATAATAGACGATCATTTATCTTTGTATTGCAGACTTTTAAGGTAAACGTAAATAGGAATTACAATTTTAAAAATTAAACTTAGATCACACTTAGCATGGGTATGGCTTTGAAGCTTAAAGGAATTTAATTTTCATTATACAGTCTGTAGGATGATGCCCTTCAATTCTAATATAATGTTGTCCTCCAAATTTGGTTACATTTTTGTGATTAACAAATAATCGCTTTAGCATGATCATCTGAGTCTGCATATTATTGGGCAAGGGAACATTGTATTACCCGAGACGCTAGTGATGCATCCTTATTAATCGAATCTTCTATTAACCGCAGTATAAGGCTATCTAAAAGAACCAAAAATTTGTACTTGGCATTTCTTTCAAATATTATTATTTGTTTGTTTTTATCAAAAAAAAAAAAAATTATTATAGTAATCGCTTCGTTTGGCAAATTACCTTGTAAATTTAAATTATGAAAAATAAGTTACCCATGAGTTATGATAATCTTTACAATTTTTTAAACCAAAGTTTCAAAGTGAGGCAAGCATTACAATTTGTCTCATAGTAATCTTGAATTTAACCCAAATAATAAAAATAATTTGTTTCTTATGATCAAGTGAGTCATGGTAATAAATAGCGGAAGAAATTAACTTTTCTTGATCATATGATGCGTAACTTGCCAATCATCTATTTAGAGATCGGCTAATTTTTTTTTTTTTACCCGGACCGCCGGACGCCAAGTCAAAATTGCCAATAATTATGAAATTGCTAAAGAACTTTTCACATCGTTAAAAGTAAATTTCAATTAGGGAATTTCAAGCTTTATTATATTTATTTTAAATATTTTGTTCATATAAAATATTTCGTGAATAATTTGTATAATCCATTCTTATCATGTGATAAATGGACCAATTGTTTACCCTGTTATCCGGTTATTGTGTAGATCACTTATATAAGGTTCCATTCATTAAACGTTAAATTCTTTCGCCACAATTTTTTTTCTTTTCTTTAAACAAGTTATTAATAAAAAAAAAAATGGATGATAATAAACTATTACAGAAATTATCTCAAAATTTGCTTGAAATTTTGAATGATGACGAATATTGTGATATTACTATTGAGGTTGGAGATGACCCTTACGTAAAAGTATTCCGAGCTCATATGAACATTTTAAACTATCGTTCTTCTTATTTACGAAGAGTTTTATCAACTATTGAAAGGAGAAATGATGAACCTTTGATACACATTAAATTACCAAATATTATTTTACCGGAAATTTTTCAAATAATTTTAAGGTTAATATAAGTCTTGTTGCTTTTATATAAACGTATTTTTTTTTTTTGAATGTGAAATTAATTTATTTTTTATTTTAGATATATTTATGGGGGAAGATTATCTTTGGAAGAATATGATGCTTTAGATATCATCAAAATTTTGGTTGCCGCCAGTGAATTAAGTCTTCAAGAATTGGTCGATTATATACAATCCTTTTTGACCAAAAATAAAGCGGATTGGATGGAACAGAATTTTAATTTGATATATCAAACAAGTTTTGAAAAAGGTTCTTTCTTGGAACTTCAAAAATATTGTACTAATTTAATATCTAACAATCCAAATAAGATATTTAAATCATTAGATTTTTCTACAACTCCTGAAAAACTTTTGATTTTAATTATTCAAAATGATAATCTTCAAATGACTGAAATTCAAGTATGGGAGAATGTTCTTAAATGGGGCTTTGCACAAAATCCTGGCTTTCCTTCAGATCCTTCCAATTTTTCAAAAGATGATTTTACTTCTTTAAAGAATACTTTACATCAATGTATTCCTTTTGTTAGATTTTATAATTTAACTTCTAAAGAATTTTTTTATAATGTAGTACCTTATAAAAAAATTTTACCAAAGGAATTATATATGGATTTATTAAAAACCTTTTTGGATCCTGATAGCAAGCCAATTGATAAGCCAAAACCTCGTAAAGGAACTAACAATAGTTCAGAAACATCATCATCGAAATATCAGGTATTGATTAAATTTTAACAAAATATGCTTATGTTTATTTGGAATTTATACCAGAATTATTTTTAAAATTGATCTATTATTTTTATTTATAAAATGATATAAAGGATGAAGACCGGATGGTATTGTTAAATTTTTATTTATTATTGGCGTTAAAGAAGAAATTTTTGAAAAAAATCTAAAAACTTTTGTTTNGGAAAAGGAGAGAGTTGTTTTTAATTTCTTTAATAAGGTATTTTTAACTATGTTTATTTAAAATTTATACTAGAATTATTTTTAAAATTGTTCTTTATAAAGAAAAATAGAATTAATAAGGTATTGTTAAATTCTTACTTATTACTGGTGTTTAAGAAGAATGTTTGAAAAAAAAATATAAGAACTTTTGTTTTGAATAAATTATTCTAATGTTTGTCTTGTAACTTATATTTAAAAGGATTATCAGACAAATATGCTTATGTTTATCTGAAATTTTTACCAGAATTAATTTTAAAATTGTTCTATTATTTTTATTTTTAAAATGATATAAAGGAAAAAAACATTCAGACGGTATTGTTAAATTTTTTACTTATTATTGGCATTAAAGGAGAAATTTTTGAAAAAAAAAAATAACTTTTGTTTTGAATTTATGTTATAAATTATTCTAATGTTTGTCTTGTAACTTATATTTAAAAGGAGGAAAAGGAGAGAGTTGTTTTTAATTTCTTTAATAAGGTATTTTTAACTATGTTTATTTAAAATTTATACTAGAATTATTTTTAAAATTGTTCTTTATAAAGAAAAATAGAATTAATAAGGTATTGTTAAATTCTTACTTATTACTGGTGTTTAAGAAGAATGTTTGAAAAAAAAATATAAGAACTTTTGTTTTGAATAAATTATTCTAATGTTTGTCTTGTAACTTATATTTAAAAGGATTATCAGACAAATATGCTTATGTTTATCTGAAATTTTTACCAGAATTAATTTTAAAATTGTTCTATTATTTTTATTTTTAAAATGATATAAAGGAAAAAAACATTCAGACGGTATTGTTAAATTTTTTACTTATTATTGGCATTAAAGGAGAAATTTTTGAAAAAAAAAAATAACTTTTGTTTTGAATTTATGTTATAAATTATTCTAATGTTTGTCTTGTAACTTATATTTAAAAGGAGGAAAAGGAGAGAGTTGTTTTTAATTTCTTTAATAAGGTATTTTTAACTATGTTTATTTAAAATTTATACTAGAATTATTTTTAAAATTGTTCTTTATAAAGAAAAATAGAATTAATAAGGTATTGTTAAATTCTTACTTATTACTGGTGTTTAAGAAGAATGTTTGAAAAAAAAATATAAGAACTTTTGTTTTGAATAAATTATTCTAATGTTTGTCTTGTAACTTATATTTAAAAGGATTATCAGACAAATATGCTTATGTTTATCTGAAATTTTTACCAGAATTAATTTTAAAATTGTTCTATTATTTTTATTTTTAAAATGATATAAAGGAAAAAAACATTCAGACGGTATTGTTAAATTTTTTACTTATTATTGGCATTAAAGGAGAAATTTTTGAAAAAAAAAAATAACTTTTGTTTTGAATTTATGTTATAAATTATTCTAATGTTTGTCTTGTAACTTATATTTAAAAGGAGGAAAAGGAGAGAGTTGTTTTTAATTTCTTTAATAAGGTATTTTTAACTATGTTTATTTAAAATTTATACTAGAATTATTTTTAAAATTGTTCTTTATAAAGAAAAATAGAATTAATAAGGTATTGTTAAATTCTTACTTATTACTGGTGTTTAAGAAGAATGTTTGAAAAAAAAATATAAGAACTTTTGTTTTGAATAAATTATTCTAATGTTTGTCTTGTAACTTATATTTAAAAGGATTATCAGACAAATATGCTTATGTTTATCTGAAATTTTTACCAGAATTAATTTTAAAATTGTTCTATTATTTTTATTTTTAAAATGATATAAAGGAAAAAAACATTCAGACGGTATTGTTAAATTTTTTACTTATTATTGGCATTAAAGGAGAAATTTTTGAAAAAAAAAAATAACTTTTGTTTTGAATTTATGTTATAAATTATTCTAATGTTTGTCTTGTAACTTATATTTAAAAGGAGGAAAAGGAGAGAGTTGTTTTTAATTTCTTTAATAAGGTATTTTTAACTATGTTTATTTAAAATTTATACTAGAATTATTTTTAAAATTGTTCTTTATAAAGAAAAATAGAATTAATAAGGTATTGTTAAATTCTTACTTATTACTGGTGTTTAAGAAGAATGTTTGAAAAAAAAATATAAGAACTTTTGTTTTGAATAAATTATTCTAATGTTTGTCTTGTAACTTATATTTAAAAGGATTATCAGACAAATATGCTTATGTTTATCTGAAATTTTTACCAGAATTAATTTTAAAATTGTTCTATTATTTTTATTTTTAAAATGATATAAAGGAAAAAAACATTCAGACGGTATTGTTAAATTTTTTACTTATTATTGGCATTAAAGGAGAAATTTTTGAAAAAAAAAAATAACTTTTGTTTTGAATTTATGTTATAAATTATTCTAATGTTTGTCTTGTAACTTATATTTAAAAGGAGGAAAAGGAGAGAGTTGTTTTTAATTTCTTTAATAAGGTATTTTTAACTATGTTTATTTAAAATTTATACTAGAATTATTTTTAAAATTGTTCTTTATAAAGAAAAATAGAATTAATAAGGTATTGTTAAATTCTTACTTATTACTGGTGTTTAAGAAGAATGTTTGAAAAAAAAATATAAGAACTTTTGTTTTGAATAAATTATTCTAATGTTTGTCTTGTAACTTATATTTAAAAGGATTATCAGACAAATATGCTTATGTTTATCTGAAATTTTTACCAGAATTAATTTTAAAATTGTTCTATTATTTTTATTTTTAAAATGATATAAAGGAAAAAAACATTCAGACGGTATTGTTAAATTTTTTACTTATTATTGGCATTAAAGGAGAAATTTTTGAAAAAAAAAAATAACTTTTGTTTTGAATTTATGTTATAAATTATTCTAATGTTTGTCTTGTAACTTATATTTAAAAGGAGGAAAAGGAGAGAGTTGTTTTTAATTTCTTTAATAAGGTATTTTTAACTATGTTTATTTAAAATTTATACTAGAATTATTTTTAAAATTGTTCTTTATAAAGAAAAATAGAATTAATAAGGTATTGTTAAATTCTTACTTATTACTGGTGTTTAAGAAGAATGTTTGAAAAAAAAATATAAGAACTTTTGTTTTGAATAAATTATTCTAATGTTTGTCTTGTAACTTATATTTAAAAGGATTATCAGACAAATATGCTTATGTTTATCTGAAATTTTTACCAGAATTAATTTTAAAATTGTTCTATTATTTTTATTTTTAAAATGATATAAAGGAAAAAAACATTCAGACGGTATTGTTAAATTTTTTACTTATTATTGGCATTAAAGGAGAAATTTTTGAAAAAAAAAAATAACTTTTGTTTTGAATTTATGTTATAAATTATTCTAATGTTTGTCTTGTAACTTATATTTAAAAGGAGGAAAAGGAGAGAGTTGTTTTTAATTTCTTTAATAAGGTATTTTTAACTATGTTTATTTAAAATTTATACTAGAATTATTTTTAAAATTGTTCTTTATAAAGAAAAATAGAATTAATAAGGTATTGTTAAATTCTTACTTATTACTGGTGTTTAAGAAGAATGTTTGAAAAAAAAATATAAGAACTTTTGTTTTGAATAAATTATTCTAATGTTTGTCTTGTAACTTATATTTAAAAGGATTATCAGACAAATATGCTTATGTTTATCTGAAATTTTTACCAGAATTAATTTTAAAATTGTTCTATTATTTTTATTTTTAAAATGATATAAAGGAAAAAAACATTCAGACGGTATTGTTAAATTTTTTACTTATTATTGGCATTAAAGGAGAAATTTTTGAAAAAAAAAAATAACTTTTGTTTTGAATTTATGTTATAAATTATTCTAATGTTTGTCTTGTAACTTATATTTAAAAGGAGGAAAAGGAGAGAGTTGTTTTTAATTTCTTTAATAAGGTATTTTTAACTATGTTTATTTAAAATTTATACTAGAATTATTTTTAAAATTGTTCTTTATAAAGAAAAATAGAATTAATAAGGTATTGTTAAATTCTTACTTATTACTGGTGTTTAAGAAGAATGTTTGAAAAAAAAATATAAGAACTTTTGTTTTGAATAAATTATTCTAATGTTTGTCTTGTAACTTATATTTAAAAGGATTATCAGACAAATATGCTTATGTTTATCTGAAATTTTTACCAGAATTAATTTTAAAATTGTTCTATTATTTTTATTTTTAAAATGATATAAAGGAAAAAAACATTCAGACGGTATTGTTAAATTTTTTACTTATTATTGGCATTAAAGGAGAAATTTTTGAAAAAAAAATATAACTTTTGTTTTGAATTTATGTTATAAATTATTCTTGTAACTTATATTTAAAAGGATTATCAGGTATTTTTAACAAATATGCTTATTTTTATCTGAAATTATACCAGAATTAATTTTAAAATTGTTCTATTATTTTTATTTATAAAATGATATAAAGGATGAAGAGGTACTGTTAAATTTTTTACTTATTATTGGCGTTTAAGAAGAAATTTTTGAAAAAAAAATATAAAAACTTGTTTGGAATTTATGTTATAAATTATTCTAATGTTGTCTTGTAACTTATATTTAAAAGGACTATCAGGTATTTTTAACAAATATGCTTATGTTATCTGAAATTTTATACCAGAATTAATTTTAAAATTGTGCTATTATTTTTATTTATAAAATGATATAAAGGGTGAAGCGGTACTGTTAAATTTTTTACTTATTATTTGCGTTTAAGAAGAAATTTTTGAATTTTTGTTTGGAATTAACATTATAAATTATTCTAATGTTTGTCTTGTAACTTATATTTAAAGGAGAAGTATTATTATAATTCGGAAACAAAGAAATACAATAAGAAATTCTCTATACCTGAGTTGT